GAACTTGTTTTAAAGTTGGAAACAGGTTGATGATAAATAGATGGCTTGTTATTTCAGGCTAGAGTTTTATTCTACATTATAGAAAGCAGAAGACATTTGAAGTTTTCTTGCTTCATTTTACAGATAGGTAATTGACATGATTGAAACTCTCCAGTGTGAAATGTTAGTAGGGCCACCATTTTGGAAATGTGTAGATGGAGGAAAGGGAGGGGAATATGGTGAGTTTGAAGGTAGGGAAGTTCTTTAGAGAATTCTTAAAGTAGACCACGTGGAAGATGGATATGGACTAGTATTAGCATGGTGGTGACAGTGGGAGAGGAATGAAAGGATCAGCAAAATTTAGTGATTTTCCTGGGTGTGTTACTGAAGGAAGAAGCAGAATTCATAGGAGGCTGTAGGCTTTCTGTGCTCCATGATCTGAAAATAAGGGTAATGGTTACGGTAAAAACACCCTGTGAAAGATAGCTTATTCTGAGAAATTAGCCTCGGACATCTTAAGATCATAGAACCTCAAAATCTAGTAGACAGCTGGAGCAAAGGAGTAAGAAAAATTTATGTAGTTATAACATTGGATTATTTTCTTTCTACATTTTTAATTACCATTATATTACTACTAGACTGCGAATATTTAGATTGCTTCTGTTGGGTACATACAAAGAAAATGTATTGTGTCAATTTTAAGGCCGTTGGAGTGAGGAATGGTGAGGTAGTTTAGCCCCGTTCTACTTCTGGTTGTTATTATTTTGCTTGTTTTTTGGCTAAATTAAAATCTAGGATAAATTATATTTATACTTTCTCTCATTAAGATTCTAAATTTCAATCCATTTGTTTACTTTAGCAGGGAATAGATGTCCTGTTGTCCTACCAGCAAAATCTTTCAGATTTTACTCTTATCTTAGGGTTAGAGCTGTACTTTTGTGCAAATAGCACACAGATAGATAAACTTGTAAAACTGGAAGGCACCTTTGGAGGCTTTTGAGATCATCTAGTGTAGTCTTCATATATCTCAGTTTAGTAATCTGAGGCAAGGGAAATAATAATAACTAACATTTATTGAGCTATAATCTCATGTAATAATTATTAACGACCCTATAAAGTAAGTGAAGTGACTTTCCCTAAGTCCCGTAGAAAGTGGTGGCATTGCTGGCTTTAGAACCTGTTTTCTAGGTAAATTTACTTCACACTTTAAACACATTTAGTTATATGCAGTAAAGAAAAACAATTAGTGTTTTCTATTATTAGATTAAATATATTCTTTAGTATTTAAATTAAGAAATATTAAAAGATAGAACCTATTGTTTGATACAGTGAAACCATATCATCTAATATTGTTGTTTTTAAAGACTTTTTCCTTACTCTCGAACACACGCATATACATTGCTTTCATATTTTAATAAATATGTTTGCCTATACAGTATTTTAAAATATACGTAATAGAATTCTATCTTACTTTCTTCTTGGATTTACTTCTGTGATCTTGAAATCCAAGCCATTTAATTTTAGAACTACTTTGTTAACTATATATATTATAATAATAAAAAGTGTGTGTGTATGCATATATAATATAGCTATGTTGATAAGTTTGATATGATTTAAATTTTTATCTGTTTTGTTACTCTGGAAATTTATTTCTTTACTGTCAATATTTTTCTTATCTTTAAATATCTAGGCAGCTGAGTGAAGTTGTTTTGTTTCTGTTAGAAGAAAGACAAAAATAAAATCACTATACAGTGCTATGTATGTGATAGAGAATATTTAATTTGAGGGGTTTGGAATGTTCTTTACTTTTTTTTTTTAATTGTTGTAGTTTAGATGAAGTTTACATTTCAAGTTAGTCTCCCATACAAAAATTTATACCTACATTATTATGTGACCCTAATTGCTCTCCCCATACTGTGACAGCACACTCTTCCTTTCTACCCCTGATTCCCCATGTCTATTCAACCAGCTCCTAACCCTCTTTGCCTTCCCATCTCACCTCCAGACAGAAGCTACGCGTTTAGTCTCTTGTATCTACTTGAGCAAGAGGCACATTCCTCACGAGTATCCCTTTATGTCCCACAGTCCAGTCCAATCCCTGTCTGAAGAGTTGGCCTTGAAAATTGTTTTCATTCTGGGCTGATAGAGAATCTGGGGGCCATGCTTTCCAGGGTTCCTCCAGTCTCAGACCATTACATCTGGTCTTCCTACTAGAATTTGAGTTATGCACCTCACCTTTCTCCTGCTCCATCAGGGACTCTGTTGTGTTCCCTGTCAGGATGGTCATTGGTGGTACCCGGGCACCATCTAGTTCTTCTGATCTCAGGCTGATGAAGTCTCTGGTTTATGTGGCCCTTTCTGTCTCTTGGGCTACTCCTTTCCTTGTGTCTTTGGTGTTCTTCATTCTCCTTTATTCCTGGTGGTTGGGACCAATTGATGCATCTTAGATGGCTGCTTGCAAACTTTGAAGACCCCAGACGCCACTCACTGAAGTAAGATGCAGAACATTTTCTTAATAAGCTTTGTTATGCCAGTTGACCTAGATGTCCCCTGAAAGCATGGTCCCCAGACCCCTACCCCTGTTACTCTGTCCCTCAAAGTGTTTGATTGTATTCAGGAAATTTCTTAGCTTTGGTTTAGTCCAGTTGTGCTGACTTCCTCTGTAGTGTGTGCTGTCCTTCCCTTCACCTAAGATAATACTTGTCTACTATCTAGTTAGTAAATAACCTTCACCCTCCTTCCCCACCCTTATAACCATCAAAGAATGTTTTATTCTGTGTTTAAACCTTTTCTTGAGTTCTTATAATAGTGGTCTTGTACAATATTTGTCCTTCTGTGACTGACTGAATTCACTCAGCATAATGCCTTCCAGATTCCTCCATGTTACAAGATGTTTCACAGATTCATCGTTGTTCTTTATCATTGTGTGGTATTCCATTGTGTGGATATACCATAATTTGTTTACCCATTCATCCATTGATAGGCACCTAGATTGTTTCCGTCTTTTTGCTATTGTGAACAGTGCTGCAGTGAACATGGGTGTGCATATATCTATTTGTGTGATGGCTCTTATTTGTCTAGGATACATTCCAAGGAGTGGGATAGCTGGATCGTATGGTACTGCTATTTCTAGCTTTTTATGGAAGCGCCAAATCAATTTGCAAAGTGGATGTACCATTTTACATTTCCACCAACAGTGTATAAGTTGTTCCAGTCTCTCCAAAACCTCTCCAGCATTTAGTATTTTATGTTTTTTGGATTAATACTAACCTTGTTGGGGTGAGATGGTATCTCAGTGTAGTTTTGATCTGCATTTCCCTGATGGGTAATGATCGTGAGCATTTCTTCATGTGTCCGTTAGCCGCCTGAATATCTTCTTTGGCAAAATGCCTGTTCATATCCTTTGCCCATTTTTTAAAAGGGTTATCTGTCTTTTTGTTGTTGAGGTTTTGCAGTATCTTGTAGATTTTAGAGATTAGATGCTGATTGGATTTGTTGTAGCCAAAAATTTTAGAATGTTCTTTACATTTTTTACCTGTTATATTTTCCATGTCATTGCTATAGATGTTTGTCTTACTAATTTCAAGAATTATGTCAGTCACTTGATAGTTATATGTTAAAATATTTGTAAGTTATACAGTATTTTAAAGTTTTATTTGTATAGATAAAGTTTTAGTTGTTCCTGATTTTCCCATTGTTAAACAGCAAATATGTGGCATCCATTTATTCAGCATGTATTTTATGAATATTTTTAATGTGTCAGGCACACCGCTATCATTAGGGATACAGTGGGGAGGAAATACAGATATGGTCCCTGCCTTGATGGATCTAGCAGTCAGTAGTATTTACTCAATTTTAGATCCAAAATACTTGTTCTTATGTACTGGGATGGGTCTGTTTTGATGATTATTTTCAAGGAAAGAATTTGACCATTGATGATAATCAAAAGCTAACTGAACATATAATGTTCCCTGTAGTTATTATTTTGCACTCAGTTCTTGCTCAGTGAGCTGATAGGTTTTTTGTTTGTTTTTTAAATCAAAAAGTAATTTTAGTAAATGTTCTCTAAAATCTTTGATTTTAAGAATACTGATTATTTTCTTTCTTTTTTGGGCTGGTCTCACCTATCTGCCAACAACCCAGTGTCTAATTATATGTACTGAATGCTGAGCTTGTCATTGACATTAGAATGGTTTCTTCTAATTTGTACTTTTTTCATGTTTCTAGGTAGCTATGAAAATTTCATTATCTTTCATTTTACTGTAATTTTACATTGTTTACTTTTTTATGGAGCAATGAAATATATACACATGAAGTTTAAAGAAGATCAAACTAAATAAACTCATGGAAATTTTTATTGGGCAAGGAAGAAAGGTTAGGAATTAAGAACCATGAAAAGTCTGGCAGTCTCAGACACAACTAGTTTCCTTCTCCTTCCTCTAAATTCTTGGCGCAGGAAGCACACCCAGTATAAAAGATATTTGGGCCTGTGATCTAAAAGAATTCAGTCTGTCAAATCCTGGATATAAACTGGGGTCAGTGGGAAGGATCATTCAGTACATCTTCTTTCTGTATTACCCTTTGTGTTCAAACAAAAATACAGCTTTTTAAAGAATTTTTTAAAAAATTATTTATAGAAGAGTATAAAATACCCCGTTCAGGTTAAATTCTTTTTCTTCTGCTAAAATGTGAAGTTTTCTTGGCTACTGCTCCTTCATTCATAATAATTATACACTACTGTTGCATAGTTTAAAAAATGGAGTGATTATCAAGGAACATTTCTCTGAAAATTAGTTTTTTAAGCAGCCAATAAGGGTTTAAAGAAAATAAACATGAAAATCATTTGAATTATAACTTTACATGTTAAGCAATATTATTTTTCTGGATCCATGTAATGCTTTCTCTAATAGTACATTAATAAACTTTTCTTTCATTATTAGCAGAAGTATAATTTATCCTTAGTGCTTATTATTAATTATTTTTTAAAAAGTGACACTGCTAATAAAATATATTTATTACAGCTCAAAGATGGCGGCAAGGCATCCCAGGCAAATGTAAGAATAGGTGACGTGGTTCTCAGCATCGATGGAATAAGTGCACATGGAATGACTCATCTTGAAGCCCAGAACAAGATTAAGGGGTGTACAGGCTCTTTGAATATGACTCTGCAAAGGTAAATTGCTTTTTGTTTGGCTCTGAGAGAGAGAGAGAACATCACTGAGTAATGTGTTTTTGTGTGTCTGATTCATGGCGTTAACTAAGAAGCAGTTTCTGTTAGCGTTGTTTCAGGTAAAAATATAATGGCTGTTAAATTGGGTAATCAAGCAGCATGAGAATTGCTGAAGGCTATGAATTGTTTCCCCATAAAAAGGCATGTATGCATGTACTCACAAAATTATGTATATGGTTTCAGGGAATTTAAGAATTCCTGAAGCTTTTCTATGAGACTCAGGCTAAGAATTCTTATTGTAGGATAAAACCTTTGGCCTTAATATTCTGGGCAGTATATCGGTATGGTTTAGGTTTCCTTAGTTTGTATCTTTTTTCCTTTATTCCCTGGATAGAGAAGTAATTTTTTTTAATATGCTCACTTGAAGACTGAATTTTCTGAACTGTTGTTATTTATTTTTTAAAGTTACTCTGGCTTCAGTAATAAAATAGGCAATCATTTCATTGATTGTAATATGTCAGTCATTTTGAGCATCCCAGCATATGACCTGTATTGAAATCACCTGTAGTGCTTATAAAGCCTACGTATTCCTGTGCTGAGTCAGAATTTCTGGAAATAAGGACCAAGAATTATATTTTAACAAGTTCCCTGTGATTTTTATGAATTCTGTAGTTAGAACCACTGTAGTGTCTTGGGCTGAGGGGAAGGGGAGGAGAAATAGGGATTGGAGGGAGAGTGATTGAGTGATCTTTAGGTTTATGAGGAAGGTAGCTTGATCATTTACCAGGTGATCATGGAAAGTTTTCAATGAGTCTTGTTTTTTTGATGAGTAAAAAGTATTCAGTATATTCAGCTAAATTTGGAAAACAGCATTTTTTCCCTCCAGAATATCTTGTAGTGTTCCATGAATTATGTATTGTGAGTCTTTAAGAGAGGAATAAAATATGTGGTCCCTCTCAAACCAAAGTATTTAGCTATGTAACTTTTTTTTCTTGGAGCCCCTCATGGGACTAGTATTCTATGGAAAACACTTTGAAAAATGCTTCCCTATTCTTTGCTATTGCTGTTTTAGGAATTTATAGTCAAAGAGTTTATACAGGGTAAATTATTTGTACTGGTCTAGATAAGTATCAATTTGGTATTAAAACCAAATAGGAAAATTTTTTTATACACTTAAACTGAATTCAGGTGTCAGAATCTTAGATGTTTTGGCCTTTTGGAAATTATTGAAGAGCTGTAAAATTTTTAGATATTGAATGACATAAAGAAAATAGTTTCTTGTGTACTCTATGTACTGTTTTTTCCAAAACAAGAATCATTTTACTTGCTTATTCTTTGAGAACAGAACAATTACATAGGAAGGCTAAAGTATAGTCTTTCTTTGGGAGAGAAAGAATTTGACTCCCATTATTCTTTTTGACATTTAAAGGTATGCATGTATGTAATAAGAACATTAAAACACAGAGAGGTGTATGCTAAAAATTAGTTGTATCCCACTCTCTCTCTCCGCAGATTTCAGTGTTTCTCCCTTCTAGTAACTAGTATTAACAATCTATAAAACTTCTTTACAGAAAAAAAGAATGCATTTGAATTTATCATTCTGTGCCATGCTTTTGTATCAGCTCTTCTGAGTCTACTGTGATGTAGCATGACTTATTTTAATGAGTTCCCTCTTTAGGGCCTTTTTTTTTTTTTTTTTAAAGGAGCAGTTCCTTTCAGTGGAACTGTTGAATCAAAAGTTATATGTATTTTATGTTTTGATAGCTATTAGCTATTAGCTACACATTTTAATGCATAGAAATGTAATCAGTGAGAAAAATAGTCTATTGCTAAAAAATTCTCTTCCTGATAATATCCTTCTGTTCTGTATATTGTGACATATAACATAAAAATTGTTACTAATTAAATGAAAATAGTCATTTTTATATGTAGGCATTTTTACTAAGTATGGATTTCGAGAGGGAATCAAGAGGTCAAGAAGCTTAACTTGTCTGAAATATCAAAAAACAGACAAAAAGCAAAATACAGATGATGCCAAACTTTTTCTCTCATTATAAATGGAAAGTTTATGTAGGGTATAAGTTCTTTTCCTAGACAGTGTATCATTCATTTCACACCAGCATACTCTTCTTCACATTGGGCCCTCCTTTTATGATCCAGGACCCAGTATCTTATTTTCTTTTTTTCTAAAGCTTTTTTTTTTTTTACTTAATTGTACTTCAGGTGAAGGCTTACAGAACAAATAGTTTCTCATGAAACAGTAGTACACATATTGTTTTATGACATTGGTTAACAACCCCACAACATGTCAACCCTCTAACTTCTCAACCCTTTCCTTTGGTGAAAATGCACATAACCAAAGATACACCATCTCAAAAATTTCTACATGCACGGTTCAGTGACATTGACTACGCTCTTCCAATGGTGCTGCCACTCTCACTCAAGATGAAGGCTTACAGAACAAAATAGTTTCTCATTTAGCAGTTACTACATGTTTCCCTATGACAATGGCCAACAATCTCACAACACATCAACAATATCCTTACTCAACTTTGGGTTCCCTATCACCAGCTTCCTTGTCCCCTTCGGCCTTCCGGCCCTTGTCACTGGACTACTGTACCTCATTAGTCCCATTTGGTTTTACGGGGCTGTCCACTCCCTGGCTGAACAGTGAACCTCGGAAATAACTTCACCACTGAGCTAAAAGGGTGTCTGGGAGCCATACTCTCGAGGTTTCTCCAGTCTCCTTTAGGCCAGTAAATCTGGTCTTTTTTTTTGTGAGTTAGAGTTATGTTCTACATCCTTCTCCAGCTCTGTCCAGAACCCTCTGTTGTGATCCTGGTCATAGCAGTCAGTGGTGGTAGCCGGGCACCATCTAGCTGTACTGGACTCAGTCTGGTACAGGCCTTGGTAGCTGTAGTCCATTAGTCCTTTGAACTAATCTTTTTCTTGTATCTTATTCCCTTCATTCTCCCTTGCTCCCAAAGGGATGAGACCAGTGGAGTATCTTAGATGGCCGCTTACAGGCTTTTAAGACCCCATACACTACTCACCAAGGTAGAATGTAGAACACTGTCTTTATAAACTGCGTTATGCCAGCTGAGCTAGTTGTTCCCCGAGACCATGGTCCCCACAGCCCTCCGCCCAGCAATTCAGTCCCTCAGGGAGTTTGGATGTGTCTATGGGGCTTCCATGACCTTTCCTTGTACAAGTTGTGCTAGTTTCCCCTGTATTGTGTACTGTCTCACCCTTCACCCAGTATCTTATTTTCTATTGAACACTTCTGAGCTGATAAGAAAAGATGAAAACCAGATATTACCGTTTTGATGCATTTCCAATTTAACTAATTTGCTGCTGACTCTTAGTAAGATTATTTTAAGCTACTTAAATGCAAAATCTAACACACTGACTTGTTATAAACATTTGGGTATACTATTTAATCTCGTCTTCATATTTCTGAACATGCGTATTCAGGGACTGAAAATATAAGGAAGAATTTTAGAGTCCTGTTAATTGTAATTCTTTTCAAGTTTTTAAACACTTGTGTTAGCTTGACATCAGCCTATTTTGATAGTGTGTGCATTTAAGAAAATTTATGATATAACATTGACAATGCTGTTGAAAAAAATGCTTTCACCTTTTAAGGCAAAAATATAACTTTGAAGACTTACCTCCCATTTTTCCCTATGTACCAAGACCATTCTGTCAAGTTCTCTGTCTTTTCCATATCAAAGCAAATGTTTTTTCTTTTACTGCTTAATTTTAACCCTCTTCCACTTATTTCTGAATTCCAACAACAGCATCCCCCTCATCCCACCTCTTACCAGCCAGACTGTTCTCTATTGTCCTTCTAAACTGATTGACCTACAACATTACTTTCTCCATGTGGTTTTCTTTGTGCACATGTAGTTTTCATCATGAATATGTAGTATTCTCTTCTAGTGATTTGCCTTAGTCTGGCTTCCCTAGAAGCAGAGCCTTAGATGGGGATTTATGTGCAAGTGATTTATTAAGGGAGTCCTCTCAAAGGTTACCTGCATGAGAGTGAGAGAAGCAGGATTGGGAAGAAGAAACTGAGATGAGCAAGGATGTGGTTTCAGGTGAAGTCTAGCCTCAGCTTGATCCTGGAGGGAACTTGGGAACAGCATTGCACCACAGAGTCTGTCCTGCCTGAGGCAAGGCAGCTAGGCTTTTGTATACCCTCCCTCACATCTGTTAGTCATGACTACTAGCTGTTCTGGAAGTGGGGGAGTGGGGGGTGGGTTGCGGGGGCGGGGTGTGAGGCTGGGTAGGAAGTGACTTCTATTGCCCAAGGACAGTTTTTCACAGAAGGTTGCTCATATGACTTGTGAGCCATTAGCAGAAGTGCAGGGAGCTGGGTGATTGGTTTACTACCCAGTAGAAGGGTTCCAGGGGATCCAGGCTGAGCATCAACAGTATGTGCTATGAGATTCCATCTAGATCACAGTCCTCTGAGCAGAGATTCTCTGTTACCTAGACCCACTTAAATTGTCCTCCTTAAATCAACACTACTCATCAGTGAATATGCTCTATCCTATTTAGGATAGGTTTCTCATCATCCCTCACATATCCTGACTTCTTTTTTCCTTTATGCTTTCTCTACCTGTCATGGATTGGCTTCATCTGGAATGTTTGTCCACCGCTTCACTGCCAATCCGTGTGTCTGTATCCATAAAATTCATTATCAAACCCCATCTCTTGCCCTTAGTCTTTTTCTACTGTTGAACTACTTTCATTTTTTTCTCTCTGAACTCGTACAGAGTTCACAATTTATACCATTATAAATTATGCAGCATTATATACCATTATGCACAATTTATACCATTCAGTTCAGCACTTAATTATACACTAGGTATAGTCAGGAATAACAAGGCTGATTGCATGAGTCACATACAAATAAACCTAATTAGATGATAGTGATACTTAATACTGCCCATGTTTTTAACTAATCACTACATATATATTAATCCTGTTTCTCCAAC